TTATAGACCAGAATATCATTATTACATATAAGCTTTACAATTATATCAAACAGAAACAAAGCACAAACATTTGCTTAACCAGCAGCAACCGCAGCACATTGCAAAATTATTTATTAACCTCCTACTCTTTTTGCAGAACACACAAACATTTGCTTAACCAGCAGCAACCGCAGCACTTTGCAAAATTATTTATTAACCTCCTACTCTTTTTGCAGAACACACAATCCTTGCTCCCAGCATCTCTCCAACCATTTCCTCCATCTTTTTATCTTTTTCTCCTCTTCGCTGGAAATCAGCACACAGACAATTTGGATTGCAAGCTTCTTATTTTAATTTAGCTATCATTTTTAGTAACAATTACAGTCTCGTGCGAGAACTCCCTTATCACTTCTAGCGTGTGTTTGGTTGTGAAACGTAGTTTCAGAGTTGTCGGCAATACTTTCTATTGTAAAGTCATGCAATGTGTTACCCCCTGTTGCCGATCCATCGTGCAATGTGCACACAACAGCAACTGAATGCTACCCTAGATAGTCGTGCAGTGTGAAAAGAACAGTGATCTGATGACTTTGAAAATTGTGCAATGTGAACTCGGCATAAGTCGTACGACACAATTGCAAACCACGTAGGACGTCCTGTTTTGTATTAAACACACTAGGTTAAGGAGAGAATGCCACCACCTGTAAGTTTTATCATCTAGTTAGTCAGCATAGTTTAGTTAGGGTGTCTTGACGCTGAATTATTTTTCTTTCTGCATTTTCTTTTGACAGTTAATTTAGCTGATTAAACCTAGTTAGCTTAATTTTGTTTTATTTATTTATTTGACTATCTCTCGTGCTCACCTTCCCACCTTGGTTTTGGTATTGTTATTTGTTCTTTTGTAAATATTGTTTTCTTTTCACCATGTCACTTTGGCACTGTACAATAAACACTTTTGAGTGGAGTTGTTCCTTTTTCTCTTATTGCCCTACCTTTATATTGAGTAACCCATTTCATTAAATGGTATACTCACGTTTACCCCTAGCCAAACATCAAGTTACATCTAAGGGACGAATATCATTATGCATTAATACTGATCAGACTCGTTAGTTTGGTGTGTCTAAAAAGAAAAGGCAAAAAAAAGCACCTGAACAAACCATTCTGGTTTTGCTGCAACATGAATCTCATCCAAAGCTGAAACGCCTCAGAGAGTGACCATTTTGACTTTTTGAGGCCAAGGGGCATCCTGATACAATAAGGACAATTGATATGGAAATAGATTTATTGTGAAGATTAGATGGGAAGCCCCTCATGTGATGATTCTTAGAGGTGCTGTTGTTGTAGATTTCACAGTGACTGAAGGAGGAGGGATCCTGTTGGAAATTAAACAGAGAGACTCTTTCATGGCATAATTTGCCACGCATTATGATCATTTAAAGAAGGGGGAGCTGGTCATGAGAAAAAGGTTCCTCAGAACATCTCACATGATGTCCTTTAGTCATGCTCTTATGAACCATGTGATCTTGTTTTAGAGGAGGCTATACACAAAACTACTATTGTCATTTAGGTTCATTCCTACATTTCTGATATTGCCATGTTTGGTTTTAATTTGGTAAAGGGTAGCCGTAAAGAAGAAAAATTATGAAAATGAAAATTACCTATCAAGAAAGTGTTCAAGTTTAACAGTTATCTGAGACATGAAAGACTATTTACTTAATACCACACATGACCAGACAGCAGCAAGTAAATATAAAATACAGCCAACTAAAAAATGGACAAGACTTAGAATGAGGGTCTAATCTAACAGACAGATCTGCTGCTTCTCCATTCAGCTAGGTTTGTCCATGTCCAGGAACCTTGGAATAGTGATTGATGGTCAGTTAAACTTAACAGACCACATTGCTAAAACTGCTCGGTCCTGTAGATTTGCCTTATGCAACATTAGGAGGATCAGACCCTTCCTATCGGAGCATGCTACACAACTCCTTGTCAAAGCTTTTATTCTATCCAGAGTGGACTATTGCACTGCTCTCTTGGCAGTGAAATTCACAGTAATTAACTGGCAGCAAGTGACAAGTAACTTACTGCAAAAATTCACAGTAATTAACTGGCAACAATTGCAAAGTAATTTACTAAAGAAAAACATTCATTTTTGTTGTTTTCATTTACAGTAGCAACCACATTACTGTAAAGTAAAAGACACTAATTTGCAAAAACTGCTTTTTTCTTAATCCATTTTAGGATTGGACAGACATCAAACAATACTATATATTCTTAATTGTTGAACAGTAATAAGTATAAACATTTTTCTTGTCCTTAATGGGTGAGCAGCATACCATGGCTACCACACACAGTATGGGGAGTGACGCACCTCCAAGGCAAAGAGAGGTTTTAAACTGCCTCAAAACAAGACCACTAGAGATGGCGGAATATGGTTAACAAAAACCTTTAATTTAGACAAAAAAAGTGAGAAGGAAGTCAATCATAGGTTTACATAGGCTTCAATCAATCACACGCTGAGCCATCATCATCTTCAGCACCTCTTCCTAGGCCATCTGTACCTAAAACATACCAACCTTGAGTGCAACAGGGTTCCTGGTTTTATAGTGATCTCCATAGGCTATCATTGGCCACAGCTGTGGATGGTTCCATGTTTGGAAGGTGAGCAGGTGGAAGTACTCATGATTGATGTTTTCTCCCAGCCGAGACCTACTCCTATTGAGGCTAGGAAGTTTATGAATACACTACATTTAAGTTAGGAAAAGATGTTCATGTACTGTACCAGTGAAAAGTTGGACACACTTTCTCATTTAAGTGAATGTGAGGGTTGGTTTAAAATTTTGGCTGGTACTGTCCATGTTCTACAACAGCTAAATTAGAAAAATGTACTTTGGCTGCAGCCGAAATCACATACTTCCCTTCTATTAGGTAGGCAAAAAACAGTAAAGTGTATATTCTGTTTTGGATTGGTTCTTTTCCTATTTACCCTGTCATTATTTATTGACTTTGGCTGCAGCCGAAATCACATACTTCCCTTCTATAAAGTAGGCAAAAAACAGTGACAAAAGAAGTTATGTCCAAATTCACAGTACTCATAAAAGTGTAGGCAAAACGTACCCGGATGACATACTTCTTCTGGCAAGATTCTGAGGTGTGCATACGATGGACACTTTACTATCCCATGAGGCCATGGGAGAGGATTTGTGAATGGCAGTGAAGCAACGTAACTGACGCTGGTAGGACACATGATAAGGTCAACATGGCGAATGTAGTTGAAAACCCTCTATGATTTTTGACATCTTGTGAAGTTTTATTAAAGAATATATTAGTGTCCTGTATTCTCTATTCCCAGTAAAAAAAAAAAATATTGAATTACAATAAGGTCAGTTTAAATGCAGTAATTGGCTGGCAACCTAGCTGCCAGTGTACTGTTTTCCTTCTCTATATGGTACATAATTGGTTACTGTGATTTTCTACAGCAGATTGTTGGTTACAGTGATTTTCTACATTACATAATTGATTATTGTGTGTTATACAGTGTATTTTGGTTACTGTAATTTTCTACAGTACATAATTGATTATTGTGTTTTCTACAGTTGGAAGTTACTGTGATTTTCTACATGGGAATCATTGATTATTTTGTGTTCTTCAGCACATTGTTGATTACTGTGATTTTCTACATGACATAACTAATTATTGTGTGTTCTACAGTACATTTGAAGTTACTGTGATTTTTTACAGGACATTGCTGATTACTTTGACTATCACAGTACTTTTATTACAGCAATTTTTGACTGAATACACAGTATTCTACTGTGAACGGGTATACAGTAATTTTCCTGTGCACAAACACAGTAATTACTGTAGATTTCACATTTGTTTTTGGTTGTGTACCCATATATTTTACAACATGGCAGACAAGGACATGTCCAAATGCATAAGGTTTTGATCACTATATAGTTGATTTCCTATTCCTGATGTCTTGTCTCCATGATGTTAATAATTCAATGTACTAATGGTGCAGGCTATCGTTAAAATAAAAAGTGGCAAGCTTTTAGACGTGTTTTACTTTTCGAACAAATACCTTGAGAAAGATTGTGCTCCACTGACTTGATTTTAAAGCCCTGAGTTCATCTGCCTTAGCAAAATAATTAAGGTAACACTTTCATTGGTTAATATTAGTAAACTACTATAGCTAATTTTAACAACTCCGATTTTATTGCACATTGATACCACAATCAACTGCAAATAGTGTAAACATACTTTTCTGGTTTTATTGTCTTAAGATTTGCATAGCAATAAATTTAAGAAAAAATTCTTACCTAATAGATGGACAGTACAACAAAGAAATACATAAATATTAGAAAGAAGAACTACAAAAAACAGGAAGTGAACAGAGACAGCAGGAATTATAATATGATGAAGTGATTTGTAAAATGTTTGAGGCCTTGGGTCATGTTGGAGATTAATCATACAACCTGTGTAAAGGCACAAAGAAAACTCAGATCTAACGTGACTCTTGCATTTCCATTATAAAACAGATGAGATAATCACAGTCTAAATTTGCAAACATGTACAAAATTGACAAACACTGACAAATACAGTATACGTAAAGATACATAATGAATTGTGAAACCACATAAATATCTGCAAAAAAAACAAAAACAAAAAACAGGCAAGCACAAAAGTATAACATTTTAAAGCTAATAATAATAATAATGCTCTTCTGCATTAGGGTTAATTACATTTCTGACATGAAAAAGGCTGCAGGGGAATTCCATACATATGTGCACCAAAAACAAACCCACCCTTGTTCTTACAATCAATTGCTTTATGACATTTGTAAAATCTTTAAATGTACAGGGAACTACAGAGAGCATGTGAAGTCACATTCAAGTTTGGTCTAATATTTCCGTGAAGCATGAATATATGAAGGTTGGGCAAAACTTGTGAGCAGTGTTGTTCAGAGTGTGTAACAGTGTCAATGCTGAGATATTGAATCAGTGTTAAATTGAATTTGACTCTTTTATTTTTCCACACGGAAAATTAATACAAATTCTGGATGCCAATGTTAAATAAAACTTAAAGCAGTTCCTAACACTACATGTAAAATGATACCAGTCAGCATTGAATAAAAACTGGGAGTTAAAATACATACCTTTATGCCTTCTCTAACACAAACCTAGATTTACCTTTTATACTGTAGCACCACATTCACTTGTTAATGAGTATCCCTCCAGCTGACTCAGAGTAAGGTTTCATGGTATTAGCTAAATGTTACATGCAATTGGTAGGCCACCGATACCTGTATGCAGATCAGTGCCTAAGTTGACATGTATTTGTTGGAGGCACGGCTGTTGCTTTGTTCGGATCCTCGCTCTGTCACCTTCAGCTTCATGCAGGACTGCTTGTCATCCATGGCTAACATTTCAGGAGACAGGCACCAGCAACACAGACATGACTGGAAGGGAACAGAGGAAGAAAAGTATTATTTATCATATAAACTACTGCAGGATGCCTATAGCTCACACTTGCAAGAAAATTAAGATTAACTGAATAAGGCCTTAAAATATACAGGGGAACAAACTAAATATTGAAATCTTTGAAAATCGTTTACACTGAAAAGAATGAATGCACAATCTTAAAACATGTTTTTTTTTAAGTTAAACATTTTATAACATGACATGGCATCATAAAAATTACATGGCATCATACAAATGTGGCTTTCGCACGCAAAATGTTGATAGCAAGACACCCGTCTAATGCATATTATACAGAAAAACAAAAAGTAGTGCAGAAGAATGCAAAAACATGTTCTGTAGGAAGTGGCCCTATGTATTAAATATTTTTATTATCATATGCAGATATTATCACATTATTATCATATGCAGTTTCATTTCAGTGATAAGATAAATAAATATATATTTTTGTTTTCACTGACAACATCATATAAATGGTAGCTATACTGTACACTCACCTAAAGGATTATTAGGAACACCTGTTCAATTTCTCATTAATGCAATTATCTAATCAACCAATCACATGGCAGTTGCTTCAATGCATTTAGGGGTGTGGTCCTGGTCAAGACAATCTCCTGAACTCCAAACTGAATCTCAGAATGGGAAAGAAAGGTGATTTAAGCAATTTTGAGCGTGGCATGGTTGTTGGTGCCAGACGGGCCGGTCTGAGTGTTTCACAATCTGCTCAGTTACTGGGATTTTCACGCAAAACCATTTCTAGGGTTTACCAGACTGATCTCATGAAATGGCGTATGTATGACACGCCAATTCGTATTTCCATTTTTGGCGTGCTATCAACACACATAATCGCTTTTCAGCGTGTTTATCAACGCCGTTGACTTAACGTTACATTACTGTATATATACACTCACCGGCCACTTTATTAGGTACACCTGTCCAACTGCTCGTTAACACTTAATTTCTAAGCAGCCAATCACATGGCGGCAACTCAGTGCATTTAGGCATGTAGACATGGTCAAGACAATCTCCTGCAGTTCAAACCGAGCATCAGTATGGGGAAGAAAGTTGATTTGAGTGACTTTGAACGTGGCATGATTGTTGGTGCCAGAAGGGCTGGTCTGAGTATTTCAGAAACTGCTAATCTACTGGGATTTTCACGCACAACCATCTCTAGGGTTTACAGAGACTGGTCCGAAAAAGAAAAAACATCCAGTGAGCGGCAGTTCTGTGGGCGGAAATGCCTTGTTGATGCCAGAGGTCAGAGGAGAATGGCCAGACTGGTTCGAGCTGATAGAAGGGCAACAGTGACTGAAATAACCACTCGTTACAACCGAGGTATGCAGCAAAGCATTTGTGAAGCCACAACACGCACAACCTTGAGGCGGATGGGCTACAACAGCAGAAGACTCCACCGGGTACCACTCATCTCCACTACAAATAGGAAAAAGAGGCTACAATTTGCAAGAGCTCACCAAAATTGAACAGTTGAAGACTGGAAAAATGTTGCCTGGTCTGATGAGTCTCGATTTCTGTTGAGACATTCAGATGTTAGAGTCAGAATTTGGCGTAAACAGAATGAGAACATGGAACCATCATGCCTTGTTACCACTGTGCAGGCTGGTGGTGGTGGTGTAATGGTGTGGGGGATGTTTTCCTGGCACACTTTAGGCCCCTTAGTGCCAATTGGGCATCGTTTAAATGCCACGGCCTACCTGAGCATTGTTTCTGACCATGTCCATCCCTTTATGGCCACCATGTACCCATCCTCTGATGGCTACTTCCACCATGTCACAAAGCTCTAATCATTTCAAATTGGTTTCTTGAACATGACAATGAGTTCACTGTACTAAAATGGCCTCCACAGTCACCAGATCTCAACCCAATAGAGCATCTTTGGGATGTGGTGGAACGGGAGATTCGCATCATGGATGTGCAGCCGACAAATCTGCGGCAACTGTGTGATGCCATCATGTCAATATGGACCAAACTCCCTGAGGAATGCTTCCAGCACCTTGTTGAATCTATGCCACGAAGAATTAAGGCAGTTCTGAAGGCAAAAGGGGGTCCAACCCGTTACTAGCATGGGGTACCTAATAAAGTGGCCGGTGAGTGTAAATATATGACCTACCCCAACCCTGTCCCTAAACCTACCCGTCACTGGGGTTAATACCATTTATGAGTCTTCCCCTACCATCCTAGGAAAAAAAATATCGCTCCCCAGATGTAGATCTACATTTTGCTTTGTTTCGCTCGGACATTCAACGGCGTGTACATACACGCGGAATCACTCGGACATTTAACGGCGTAGACATACACGCAAAAGATTCGGTTCGTTTCGGCGTAGACATGCACGCGGATAGCTCAAAATGCGTATAGATAACACGCCACTTGACTTGAAAGTGGCGTGTATGTTTACGCAAAGTCATGATGCCATGTTGGGTTTACAGAGAATGGTGTGAAAAGGGAAAAACATTCAGTATGCGGGAGTCCTGTGGGCGAAAATGCCTTGTTGATGCTAGAGGTCAGAGGAGAATGGGCCGACTGATTCAAGCTGATAGAAGAGCAACTTTGACTGAAATAACCACTCGTTACAACCGAGGTATGCAGCAAAGCATTTGTGAAGCCACAACACGCACAACCTTGAGGCGGATGGGCTACAACAGCAGAAGACCCCACCGGGTACCACTCCTCTCCATTACAAATAGGAAAAAGAGGCTACAATTTGCAAGAGCTCACCAAAATTGGACAGTTGAAGACTGGAAAAATGTTGCCTGGTCTGATGAGTCTCGATTTCTTTTGAGACATTCAGATGGTAGAGTCAGAATTTGGCGTAAACAGAATGAGAACATGGATCCATCATGCCTTGTTACCACTGTGCAGGCTGGTGGTGGTGGTGTAATGGTGTGGGGGATGTTTTCTTGGCACACTTTAGGCCCCTTAGTGCTAATTGGGCATCGTTTAAATGCCATGGCCTAGCTGAGCATTGTTTCTGACCATGTCCATCCCTTTATGGCCACCATGTACCCATCCTCTGATGGCTACTTCCAGCAGGATAATGCACCATGTCACAAAGCTCGAAACATTTCAAATTGGTTTCTTGAACATGACAATGAGTTCACTGTACTAAAATGGCCCCCACAGTCACCAGATCTCAACCCAATAGAGCATCTTTGGGATGTGGTGGAACACTAATCTCCATCAACTGCAAGATGCTATCCTATCAATATGGGCCAACATTTCTAAAGAATGCTTTCAGCACCTTGTTGAATCAATGCCACGTAGAATTAAGGCAGTTCTGAAGGCGAAAGGGGGTCAAACACAGTATTATGGCGCTTTTCCACTGCATAGTACGGTACGGTTCGGTTCGGTACGGCACGCTTTGGCGCTTTTCCACTGCATAGTACGGTACGGCTCGGTTCGGTACGGCTCACTTATGGCGCATTTCCACTGCATGGTACGGTACGGTACGGCTCGCTTCGGCTCGCTTTAAATGGTACCTGATCTGTTGAGGTTCCAAGCGTACCGTACCGGTACTAAAATGTGACGTCAAAACACTGCAGATCACTGATTGGTCAGACAGACAGAATCGTCACTACCAGCGTCATTGTATTTGCGACACGAGACACTAACCCGCTAGATTTAAATAGCCAGCAGTAGACAACAGCCAACGCTGTAGTACCTGTTTTTAAAGTATTTGCTTGAAAAAAGAAGATGAAAACTTCAAAAAAAGAAATGGCTAAATCGTGGTCAGTGGACGAGGTGCAGACGTTCCTCTCGTTGGTTGCCGAGGAGTTGCGCAACTATAACGATCAGTCCCACCCACTGAAGCGGTACTACTGCAGTGGAAAAGCAACCGAGCCAAAGCGAACCGAGCCGTGCCGTACCGAGTCGAGTCGTACCACGCAGTGGAAAAGCGAAGCGAGCCGAACCGTTCCGCGCCGAGTCGAACCGTACCGAGCCGAACCTTACCGAACATTACCTTGTCCATAGTACAGGACAAAGGTACTATGCAGTGGAAAAGCGCCATTAGTATGGTGTTCCTAATAATCCTTTAGGTGAGTGTATATCTACATTATTTAGTACATTGACATGGGAGTTTTTATTTTACCTAAATTTGCCAATATGTTATTACTATATTTTTAATATTTTTACATCATAGCAGTACATCATTGTCTGTCAGTCTGTTCTTACTCTGAAGCAGCTCTTGAAGCGTTTGCTAACCATGTACAAAGCGATTGGGTTTATGCATGAGTTCACTGATGCCATGTTGATCCCGATATAATCAAGAACCAGGAAGAAACTACATATAAACAAAAACACAAACAAACAAACAAACAAACAAACAAACAAACAAACAAACAGGCTCATTATTATTAAGACTATGATTTACCAAAGATAGAGAGATTATTTGTTTCTAGATTACATGGCAGAACTGTTGTCCTCTGAAAGCCAAATTTAAATGTTTAGAAAAACATTGCAGCAAGAGAAAGCCTTTGAAGATAGTTGATGTGATCTTACCTCAAAAGCTCACAGCGATTAGGGTCTCTTTCATCATAAATGGTAAGCTTTAGAATACGGCTGAGGTGCAGTGGAAGCCAGCACAGTGCAAAGACTAGCACCAGACAGAACACGGTTTTAGCCACCTCACGCCTCTGTAGAGCACAATAATGTCTTTTGCCTATTTATTTTGATTTAGAAACAATCACAGTGGATCAAGACATAATGACAAGTAAACTTTGAGTAACAAACTTTGGGACAAGTTATTAAAGTGAACAAGCTCTTTACGTCCCATTGGCAGTATACAATTATGTCTTTATTTTGTATAGGGAGTGCATGGTCTCTCTTAAAAGAATATACAGTGCACTTTCAAAAGTCATAGAGGACAGAGAGCTCTGACCTGTTTTAGGTGATCATTAAGTGCAATTTGGACTCCATTCTTCTTTCGAAGCATTTCACAGGTCATAAGAGTGTAGAAGATGGCAGTACACATCAGCGGCATGCAGAAGTAGAAACTGAAAAGCCACCAATCTTTGGCTGACTTATACAACTGGAAATGAACAAATATACCAAATTACCACTGACAAGTAATTATTATCATATTCAGGGTTGTCCAATTATTATGTGTCATGTCCAAAACTTTGTTGATTCCAACTATTGTATGACATGCAAACTGACCTGCATGAACTTGTTTTTCTGCATAGGGTGGAGCAAGCAAATTCTAAGCAGCTCTCCTTTGTAGTCCATTGTGATCATATCAAAGGCAATGGCCTCTGGCACTGCAAGTATAATGGACAGCATCCATATCAGAATTATTTCAATAGCGGTCCATTTGGGGACGCCGATGCCTTTAATGCGGTTCCACGATGCCACTGCTCGAAACCTTCGGACAATGATCAGTGCCAGAAGCAAAATTAATTAGTGTTACTAGATATTATCTAAGAGCTAAGAGCAAACAAATACAACAAAATACAGATACCTGTCTATGCTCAGTGCACACAAACTCAGCACTGTGATGCCAACTGATGCCTTTTGTATAAAAGGAACCAGTTTGCAAAGTCCAACACCAAATGGCCAATCTTCCGCCAGAAGCTGAAAGACAGTTACTTTTGTGTCAATAAGTGCCAACAGAAAATTACACAGTGGAGAAAAAAAAAATTCAACCAAATATTTCCAGAAGAGCTGTTATGACTACACAATTATACCTTGTTTTTAGTGAGCCAATTATTAAAAGCCCAGTGTTGAAAAGGATGTGGGACTTCCTAGTTTGTAAAAAAAATAGTTCCGCAGTTTCATGGAGTTAGATCATGGATGTTTTGATGAGCTGGAGCCGTCTTTTTTTCTCAGATTGCTCTACATACATTATAAAGGGCTTAAAAGTCGGGCCACCACCCATAAGAGAAAATATTGGTGGGTTATTTTTGGTAACACTTTACTTAAAGCCTTTATATATAATGCATTATAAAAGTGTAACAGAAGCAAGCTAGTAAGAGCTGTGAATGTAAACCTCACTCCCCTGGCCTCAAGATGCACAATAGTGACCGACGCTACAGACTGCTTTCTTTAGCGTCCTTGTTAGGGCGCACGCCTACCATGGCGGAGACGCCGGTTAGAGTAGGACCGGTTAGAAAAGCATTTTTAATGCATTATTATGCCTTGTAAAGCACCTTAGAATGCATTGTATGGTCTCATGAATAATTGTAACCACAGTTATAATACATTATAATACTTATCTATTCATTGAACACACCTTTAGAAAGTATAATGCATTGAAACACATGGCAGACAAACAATTTCAGATGTAACAAGGAATGTGCAAATTGAATGCATTTTAATTTTGGTTACAGTTATTTATGAAAAGATATAATGCATTAAACCATACATTATGGATACCATTATAATGCATTATAAATTAAGACATTCAGTAAAGTGTTACCATTCTTTTTTTTATTGTTAAATATGAAATTCGATTTAATCTTTATATTAATCTTATATTCTCCCTTTTTAATGCTACATCACATTTGTTGATCAACAGCATGTTAGATTTTTGTGTTGAGATGTACAGTAACAGTCAAAAGTGTGGAGACATTACTAGTTTTAATGCTTTTGAAAGAAGTCTCTTATATTCTTCAAGCCTGCATTTATTTGATCAAAAATACAGAAAAAAACAGCAATATTGTGAAATATTATTACAATTTAAAATAATGGTTCTCTATTTTAATATACTTTACAATATAATTTATTCTGTGATGCAAAGCTGAATTTGCATTACTCCAGTCTTCAGTGTCACATGATCCTTCAGAACTCATTCTAATATGCTGATTTGATACTCAGTTATTATCATTGTTGGAAACAGTTGTGCTGCTTAATATTTTTTTATAACCTGTGATACTTTTTTCAGGATTCATTTATAAATAAAAAGTTAAATAAAACAGCATTTATTCAAAATAGAAATCTTTTCTAAAAATATAAATCTCTACTATAATTTAAAAAAAAAAAATCAATTTAACGCATCTTTGCTGAATAAAAGTTTAATTTCTTTCAAAAAAGCAAGATATTTTTTTTACTGAACCCAAACGTTTGGACGGTGTATCTTAAATAAATGCGGTTCTTTTACTTTTTTATTAATCAAAGATTCATAAAAAAAAGACAGGTTATTTAAAACAATAAAGCAGAACAACTGTTTCCAATATTGATAATACATCAGCATATTAGAATGATTTCTGAAAGATCATGTGACACTGAAGACAGGAGTAATGATGCTGAAAATTCAGCTTTGCTTAACATAAATTATATTTTAAAGTAGGCTATATTAAAATAGAAAACCATTATTTTAAATTGGAATTATATTTCACAATAGTACAGTTTTTTTCTGCATTTCTGATCAAATAAATGCAACCTTGGTGAGCAGAAGAGACTCAAAAACATAAAAATAGTAATCTTTCCAAACTTATGACCGGTACAATATGGATCTCATTTCAACTTCCAGATGTATATGTCCCCCTTTAATAGGCAAATAATGCAAAGCCCATTTCATGTAGTAGGTTTTGAACATCTACATAAAGATGAAAGCACAACAAATTGTAGTTCATTGTTAAATGTAAATCAACATTTAGTTGCCTTGACAATGACTGTTAATAGACTGTTGTTAGAAACTGCTATTTGAATTGGACATACATAGTTTTCTTTTTTTTTTTTTACATTGTGGACCCATGTCTCAAACCTTCCCAAAGTTAAACTAGAAGCATGTGTGAATTTATCTACATAATTGGTTGAATATTGGAATGCCCATAAAAATGTAATTGACCTGTTTCAGATTACAAAACTGTGAGCTACCGTTTATTAACGTTGCAACCAAGTAAACTGAGTTTACAAGTTAACATCTGTTCATTAATTTTTTTAAGTCATAAAATGGAAAAAGGGTTATAAAAGAGAAAACGAAAGGTGTTTTTTTAATAAAAGACTAAATAAATAAAAGCTGTCCTGCAATCTGTGCTTACCTTATACACGTTGATGGGTATGTCTATCACGATATGCAACAGGTCCCCGAGCGCCAGACTTGCAATGAGGATATTAGGACCGTTACGCATGCATTTATTTTTATAAATGATTCTGAGCAGCGTAGAGTTTCCGATTATCCCAACAACAAACACAAGGCATGAAACCACGGTGTTAATATACTTGAAAGTATCCCTGATTTCCGTGGGACCAGTGCACATAGGCGGCAAAACTCTTGGTCGTCGAGGCATGGACTCATTGACCACATTGTCTTTTCCAAGTGTAAATTTGAGAGTTGGAGACACGGGACCCGTGGAAAATTGCCTCTCATTAAAATCATTCCCTTGAGCACTTATCAAGACGAGGTGTCCAGACAGGAGAATGAGCAAACAAACAACGCATCTCGTGTCCATCGTTTATATGAAACGTAGCCTATATGGTTAAAAAAAAAACCTGTGGTAAAACTGTTATCAATTTAATCATTAAGATTGACAGGAAGCCAAAGGTCTGGTGCTAGAAATACAAAGGCTTAAATAAACCAATGGCAATAGTCTCTTCACAATAATATTGGTTGAAGATTAAAAATATAGCAAAAACGCGTATTTGTACCCTTCGCAAGTTATTCGTATAGAGAAAATCGAGAGAAAGTCCTTGACGTCTCTAGACAATTTAATCCTTCAGAACTCCAGATGACTTAATTTAGCGCACATTTCCTTCAAAACGCAAGGATATGTTTCACATAACCACAACGTTACGCTTAAGTATTTATCCCTGTTGTATCTGTGCAGCGTTTCCTCAGACTACTCTCCCCCTGGCCCACTCAATATTGACAATCAGAAAGGACCACGCACAGTATAACGAGAGGGATGGTGACCGCGTGCATGTAATTACCCAGCAAACATGGTACGTTCTGACAACGTCGCTATTTAGTCGTCCTTTGGTTAGCGTGACATTAGGCTCGTTTGAGATGCGCCTCGCCTGAAATTTAGGCGAGAATAGGCGGCTGCAGTAAGGGAGGAGTGAAATAAGTGCAGTCAAGATGAACACGTTTTCTCTTCTAGTAGTGGATCCGACCGCTACGAGATCAAAGGCGGTTTAAGAGTTTCAAAATCACAGAGAACAATCACGGTGGATACTTGTCATTAAGCTGTCGTCAGCATGTCGTTTCCTATCGTGCTTTTTGATCAGTGCAGTCGAGGGTGAGTAATCCCGCAGGGCAAAGAAAATAAATAAATAAAAAAATAAAAATAAATTATTACTATTAATAATAATAACTACGACATTAGAGAGTTATCATGCTTTTCACTTTAGAATACTGATCCAAAAAAAGTAGGCCTAATTCCTGAAGGATATAGTAATACTTGAGTCATTAGCCTACTATCCTACACTGTAAAAAAAAAATCCGTTAAATTTACGGGAAAAAACTGGCAGCTGTGGTTACCAGAAATTTCCCGTAAAAAATATGGTAGCAACATTTGAGGTTTTACAGACTTTTAAGCAAATATAATTTTACAGCACTAAACCGTATTTCATTATCTGATATAATGTTAATTTACTGACCTTCTGAAATATTAATATCTGTTTTGTACCATTGTAATACACTGACAGACAAGAATCACAGCAGTGATGAGAGTCACATGATCAATCAAAGCTCTTCACAAGCAGCTCTTCCACAAGAAAGTTAATAATAATATGTAGAAGCTGCACAGTTTCATTCACACAAACATTAAACACCATCATGGTAACATGTTGAAATTTTAAAAATGCAATAAACATTAATTTAACAACATTAAATGTAACAACAACAAAAAAAAAAAAAAGAAAGAAAATTATGAAGAAACAGTTATTTAAAAAAATAAACATCAAATGTGAAGTGTCACGCAGGGAATTGTGGGAATGTCAATTTACGTTTTTTCACTATAAATTATACGACTTGTTCTTTTTCACTTCCAAAAACTGTAAATCTAACGGTATTTCACAGTAAAATTACATTAAATGTACCATTATATATATCACAGTTATTTACCGTATATATAAGGAAACTTTCTGTTTTTCACTGTAGCATTTTTACAGTCTTCTACCGTTAAAATCACAATCATTTTTTACAGTGTACACTTTACAAAAACCTCAAAAGCTTACAATAATTTCAGTCATTACTAGAGAGTTATCATACTTTTCACTTCAGAATACTGATCCAAATAATTAGTAATTACTTCTGAATGATTTGGTAAAACTTGAGTCATTACTAGTGGGTTACCATGATCTTCACTTTAGAATTTATTATATATTATGAATAATTTATGTTAGGGTAAGAACCTGCATATAGGCTAGTAGTTCTTAGTAGTTTTCTGGGAGGTGTGAAAAAAATAGTAGGCCTAGCTATTAATCAATAGAGAACTATAAGAACTACTAGCCTATATACAGGTTCTTACCCTAACATAAATAATTCATAATATATAATGAATTCTAAAGTGAAGATCATGGTAACCCACTAGTAATGACTCAAGTTTTACCAAATCATTCAGAAGTTATAGTAATAGTGAAAGTAATAGTGCTCAGTCGAATGCGGTATAGTTCACCATTTCACCATTAGCTAATCAGCTAATGCTGAAATGGTGAACTACCGCATTCGACTGAGGACTATTACTTACTAATTCGTTAATCAGAATTTCTTATTAGTTAATACACTCACCTAAAGGATTATTAGGGACACCTGTTCAATTTCTCATTAATGCAATTATCTAATCAACCAATCACATGGCAGTTGCTTCAATGCATTTAGGGGTGTGGTCCTGGTCAAGACAATCTCCTGAACTCCAAACTGAATGTCAGAATGGGAATTTCACAATCTGCTCAGTTACTGGGATTTTCACGCACAACCATTTCTAGGGTTTACAAAGAATGGTGTGAAAAGGGAAACACATCCAGTATGCAGCAGTCCTGTGGGCGAAAATGCCTTGTTGATGCTAGAGGTCAGAGGAGAATGGGCCGACTGATTCAAGCTGATAGAAGAGCAACTTTGACTGAAATAACCACTCATTAGAACCGAGGTATGCAGCAAAGCATTTGTGAAGCCACAACACGCACAACCTTGAGGCGGATGGTCTACAACAGCAGAAGACCCCACCGGGTACCACTCATCTCCACTACAAATAGGAAAAAGAGGCTACAATTTGCAAGAGCTCACCAAAATTGGACAGTTGAAGACTGGAAAAATGTTGCCTGGTCTGATGAGTCTCGATTTCTGTTGAGATATTCAGATGGTAGAGTCAGAATTTGGCGTAAACAGAATGAGAACATGGATCCATCATGCCTTGTTACCACTGTGCAGGCTGGTGGTGGTGATGTAATGGTGTGGGGGATGTTTTCTTGGCACACTTTAGGCCCCTTAGTGCCAATTGGGCATCGTTTAAATGCCACGGCCTACCCGAGCATTGTTTCTGACCATGTCCATCCCTTTATGGCCACCATGTACCCATCCTCTGATGGCTACTTCCAGCAGGATAATGCACCATGTCACAAAGCTCGAATCATTTCAAATTGGTTTCTTGAACATGACAATGAGTTCACTGTACTAAAATGGCCCCCACAGTCACCAGATCTCAACCCAATAGAGCATCTTTGGGATGTGGTGGAACGGGAGCTTCGTGCCCAGGATGTGCATCCCACAAATCTCCATCAACTGCAAGATGCTATCCTATCAATATGGGCCAACATTTCTAAAGAAGGCTTTCAGCACCTTGTTGAATCAATGCCACGTAGAATTAAGGCAGTTCTGAAGGCGAAAGGGGGTCAAACACAGTATTAGTATGGTGTTCCTAATAATCCTTTAGGTGAGTGTAGTTACTAGAGTGATAATATTGCATTACACAGGAGAAAATGAGTAATGCAATATTATCACTCTACGCACGGAACAATATTCTAAAGTGTTACACTTTATAATACTGTTCTGTCATTAATGAATAACATTTAAAAACAAACACACACATTATTTATATATAGTACAGAGATGGGGTAGTAACTGATTATAATGTAATAATCACCACGGAACAATATTCTAAAGTGTTACACTTTATAATACTGTTCTGTCATTAATGAATAACATTTAAAAACAAACACACACATTATTTATATATAGTACAGAGATGGGGTAGTAACTGATTATAATGTAATCTGGATTTTTGGAGTCAGTAATGAAGAAGACAGGGTCGGCTTACAGGGACTTGTGCGTTTACTGAATCAACAAAACAAACTCGCACTGTACGCACATCAACAGTATCGACTTTTTAGATCAGAGCAATCAGCATTCCGTTTCCAAACACAGTTGGTCTCTTGCTCTTCTGCACAAGTCTCCAGTCCAGTCTCTCTCTGCTCACTTCCCGTTCCTCTGTGGTTTTATAATCTCTCCACGCCAATCACTGCAACAAGACACAGGTGTCAGTCATTTTGCACTTGATCCACTTACACCACTCATGTCCTCACCCAGCAGGCACAGGATATAGACTACAACGTCGGTCAGACGTTGGATTTTGGTTGAAAATGAAAGTCCGGTTGACGTCTAAATCCAATGTTTGTTTGACGTCAAGCTCCAACGTTGGGCAGTCGTTGAATTTTGGTTGGAATAAACCAAACAAAAAGGTGAAATGCATGGCCGTGCACTTATTACCAGCTTCACTTAAAACTAACCAGATTTACTTTATTTAATTTCCATTTTAATTAAATCATATTTTGTATTTTAAAGTCAACATGATGGTGGTTAGCGTTGTTGTGCTCTTGACCCTTGACTCTTTAATAAAAAAAAATTCTCTGTCTGCTTTAATTGTGTGTTTATAAAGCTCAATTGTTGTAGCTAAAAAAGCCATGAGAAAAGGAGATCAGGTGATGTTGATGATGATATCATCATGTAATTGCCTGAATCCCTGATCTTATTCAGTTTCTGATGCTTTGATTTTATAGGACTTGTGGTTTTAATATTGTTTTATTCATAATAGAAGTCATTTGACTCTACAGCATATCTAGCAGTGTGGTTTATCAAAAATTATACTTGGTTTTTAAAAACTACTTTTATACTTCCAGAGTTGATCATACAAAAATAACTGGGTTGATCATGTTAAACAAGTCACATCATCGATCATCTGGGTTTAAGGTTATAGTGTGCAATGACTATATTGACAGAAATGGGAGATTGATAAACATGCTGAAACAATAAAAACATTCATTTAAAACATTAAAAAATTCCGATTCCGATTATTCCTCTGCAAAGCAGCGTGCAGCTCTTCATTAAGATCTCATGACTGACTGTGATTGTACAGGCGATCGCCTCGTTCAGATAATGTTGCACAGTTAAAATGAAAAATGACACACATAGTATCATGTAAGTCTAAATAAACTGTTTTGAAGATTGACGTTTATTGTAAGGTTCAAATAAGTTTAATTTCTTGTCTAAACTGCGTCTGGACATTATTTTCTGACAGCCACGCGGGGAGACTGGGCGGGGATTTATATGACGTCCACCTGTGAATGCAGACACGATGGCTGGTTTGCGTTTACATTACACTGAGATCCGATTACAATGCGTCCTCAACTACCTCCAAACCTGGACACGCTAATCGGATAACATTCCGATCAGAAGTGCGTTTACACTTGTCTTTTCAATGTGTATGTGGACAACATCCGGATACAGGTTGCATGTTAATGCCAAGTGTAAACGCAGCCTCTCTCTCTCTCTCTCTCTCTCTCTCTCTCTCTCTCTCTCTCTCTCTCTCTCTCTCTCTCTCTCTCTCTCTCTCTCTCTCTCTTTCCCGCTGCAGGCCTCGTTGAACAACTCCCCC